TTGATGAATATGATAAAAGAATTCAGTGAATTTAAAGAACACACAAACAAGGTAATCATAGAGCTGAAGGAAAATAGGGATAAACTTCTGAATGAATTCAGAAACGAGCTGGAAATATTGAAGAATACTCAGGCTGAAATGCATAAGGAGGTGAAACACTCAGTAAACCAATTAGAAATGACAGGAGAAAGCCTCACCAATAGGATGAATGAAATGGGAAAACAGACTATCAAGACTGGAAGAAAAAGTGGACGAATTAGACCACTCAAGCACAGATTATGAAAAATTTAAGAAAACACAAGAATGGAATATGCAGGAATTGTGTGATACCATAAAAAGACCAAACTTACACATCATAGGCATACAGGGAGGAGAAGAATCTCAGAATAATGGTATGGACCAGATCTTCAACAGGACTGTAGAAGAAAACTTTGCCAAATTGAAGAAAGACATGCCCATACAAATACAAAAAGCATATAAAACACCAAACAGACAGGACCAGAAAAGAAACTCTCCACAGCACATCATAGTGTTTAACACACATAGTGTTTAAAAACACATTTTAATGTTTTTAAAACACTAAATATACAGAACAAAGAGACAATACTGAAAGCTACAAAAGAAACAAGTCATATATAAAGGAAAACCCATCAGAATTATATCTGACTTTTCAGTGCAAGCTATGAAAGCCAGAAGAACCTGGGCCAAAGTATCCCCAGTTCTAAATGAACAGAGATACCAACCCAGATTACTTTACCCAGCCAAAATCTGTATTATAGTCAAAGGGGAAAGAAAAATTTTCCATGACATAAATAGGCTGAAGGAATTCATGTCCACAAAACCAGCTTTTCAGAGAGTTCTGGAAGCAATACAAAGAGCTGAAGAAAGGAACGACTATACTCAAGGGGCTGCAGAAAGAAATTCAATGAAGGTATAACTGTGGAAATGCACAGCTATATCAAGAATGTGAGAAGAAATAAAAATGACAGGGTTCAATACATATCTTTCATTAATAACTTTAAATATTAATGGACTGAACTCCCCAGTCAAAAGACACA